TTTCTTGTTTTTGGGTAACAGATTTTTTTATACCATTTATTGTCTGCATGAATAGTGCAGTAATTAAAAAACCAAAGTAGGCAATTTTTTTAGGTTTTGTTTTTGTTAATTTAAATGTATGAATAATATTTAAATCGAAAAAAAAATGGTATTACAGCAATTACAAATAAATTGTAAAAATACATATGTATTGTCATAGTACTTACCGAGAACTACTGGCCCGTCTCTAGGCTACATCAAGATAATGGGAGGACCTGGGCACATCAAGATAATGGGGATTCTACGAACTTGAGTGAGCACTATTTTATTAGAATAGTCAAAGAAAATATTGTAGTCAGTCATTGCTATTGGATTTTTCGAAATAAATATGTTTTTCGGTGATAAATATTGATTATCGATTGATCTGTGCAGGAATTAATGGGAACCTATTGATCGAGGGGCTCTGGGCACGTGCCCAGACTGCCCAGTGGGCAAGAGGGCCTGGGGCGAGCCCACAACACACAGCGCAGTAGGAAGATGTGGCAACCGCTTAAACCATTACGCCATACGTGCAATCTAATAGGAACTATATAGGAACTGAATCTACAACACTTAATATGACTTAAAACCACTGCACTATCCACTCAGACATGGCATAATAATTTAGTACAAGAAAGAAGTTCTAATTTCTTATGGCTTCGGGGAAAACAAGCAGACGGGTCACCTGGTGGTAAGTGACTACCGCAGCCCCCCACAACCAAATTTGGGAGTCCCCCCCTCAAAGCTGGGAGCCCTCCTCTCTAATTAGGAAGCCCCCCCCCAATTCCGGTAGGAGGGGGGGGGGGGGGGGGTTGAGCTCTGTTCTCTTCGCTCACTCGGTGAAATGCAACAAAAGAATTGCTCAACACCGGTTTTCTTTAAGGCCGTGGTGTCACTCCGGTCGAGCCTGGCACTTATGCGCTAAAACATGGAACTCCCACATTTAAAAGACCATCTTATAACAAGAATAGGGTTTTCTACTATGTATAATATTATATACCCAATATATCAATGCGATTCACATAAAGGTGTGTACCCACTAGAGATACTAGTACGTCCACAGATTATAAACAAGTGCCGTGAAAATACCTGTCACTGAAGCCTTAGCTCACGATACTATTACTTACGTATAGAAGAATTACGAAGTTCTAAGGTTCTTAAAACTACCCTCAATTTAAAAAAAAGTATTACTGTAATTTATGGGCGGCTTTGCTTTCCTTTCTTAACAAGAACATAACGTGGTATATCTAAAACGTATTTATTTTTTAATAATGTGGGTAGGACAATAAATATTGTTTTTTTTAAGACAAGTCATGTACCAGCAATATATCTTGTATCGCGGACTTTACAAACATACATAAAACGAACACAAAGTACATCCAGGCTCAGAACAATAATTTGTGGATCACACAAAATGTTGTCACATGTGGGGATGACATCCACAACACTCAGCCCATTACGGGCAAGGTGACCACTTACACGACTACGCCATCCATGCGTCAGGACGTCTAAGGGCGATTATTGAATATTTCTGGAGTTCTTGGCTACAATCTGTTAGAAGAATATTACCTGTTCATGCTATTCCTAACACAACCGACTTGTAAAATATCTGAAAAGATTTACTTGTAGAAATAAATATAATTTATAACTCAGCACCCTCAGCACCCTAAAACCTCCTTTCTAAGGAGAGGCTTATGTCCAGCAGTGCACTATTAAAGGCTTTTAATGTGATGCGATAACTCAGCAATATTAAATTTATTTCCGTTGTCTTCTCTTTTCTACCAACATACTCACAGTTCATATTAAATTTGAAAGAGCCCTGTTTAGTGTTTAAAACCTCTGCTTAACCCGTTGGGGATACAAGTTTGAATGTTTATGTGAACACATGTTTTAATATATTTATCAATGTTGATATTCGAAACTTAACTCGGACGAAAGGAGGCAAAAGACAGAAGAATTTTATTCCTGCCTTCCATTTTTCCACTGGAAGGTAGAGTTAACTCTCTTTTAATGGATTCGATAGAGTATGATTGGATATCACCAGCATCGAGATACTTTAAAGGTAACAATAGTTTTTTTACCAATTTCATCACCAATCGGCCATTATTTTATTTATTTCTTTTCTGTCCCCTTAAACGAAACTACATCAAATTGCCAATAGTCAAAGATAACCGAACAAGGTCCCCAACACAACTATCCTCCTCTCCTATCACACCAACCCCCTAAAGCAGTTCAAGAACCTTAGAATATTCGTAAATAATTATTTACATTATTATAAAACACACGAACATAGTTTAAAACAAATAATTGCACAAACATGTGACTTGTATATCACTTGGTTAAATTTAGCACCGGGCGGGCTGCGCACACGTCTGCGAATAATCGCAGCACACGCTATAACATTGATATGCGTATATTGGGAACCTAAAAAAAATCTAAGTAAAAACACACAAAAATCTGCATGAAAATAATAGTTTTGAAATAAATTGGTAGTTTAAAAATATATTATAATCGTTCATTCGTTCTTTTTGTCACGTCAAATCGTATTGTATTGTTGTGTAAATAATTAACAAAAAAAGCGACCACTTGAACAAAAAATTGATTCTTCTTTACTCCTTTAAATTTTATAGAATTCATTTGATAATTAATTGTGCTTGTGGTTGTAACATATCATTTAAAACGAATATAATTTTAGTCGTATCAGAGTCATGGCTGCGACAAATCGTAAAGTGCGTATTCAGCCTTAAATTTTTTTATTCCACTTCCTGATTTAAGCAAACTAAGAATAATATCAGGGCAAGATTTGATTTAACTGTTTAAATAAATATCTTCTAAGCTAAAAAAGTCACTAAGTATTTACATTAAATAAAAAAAAAAGATCGCTTTCAAAAAACATGTCTACTTATAAAAATAAAAAAAAACTATGACCATAGTGTTACGATAGTCCATAGTCTATGGCATATTGTACTTATATATCACCATTTATCTAAATAAGGGTACAATTAAAAAAATAAACAAAAATTATTCTTTGGTAAACCTATACCAAAATAAAATTAAGCCGTATAATAATGTTAGCCTACTATTAGGGTTCCGCATGCGACAAGGACCTTAGACCGTTTGTCTAAATAGCAAACCTCGACATTCGCCAGACTTACAATCAGTTTTAACTCAGAATTGAAAAGTAAACTGCAGTTATTCGTAGACCAAAACATAAGCTTGGTCTCATTCTAACGTCTTTGTCACAAAACAAACCCCTATCTTAACATTTGGTCCTAAACTCATGATGAACTTGAGTGCTGTTTTCACTTACATAATTAACTTTCAAAAAAGTATCATCAAATTTAATGCGATTACAACATAATTAACTGTAATAAACTTTATCCCTTAATTTGCCTCCCTAATGGACCGGAAAGTATACCCTCCCAAAGTAAAAAAGAGAGGGTTCATAAATGACGGAGTACTTTGTTAAAACCATAAAATTGATAATCCCCTCCCCCCCCCCCCTCTTGGGTTGGTTAACAAAAGCAGTATCTGAAGGTCAAATGTTTAACTTAAGGACCCTTTTTGAGGCCTATATTCTTATAAATAGCATGTATTATTGAAATTATGTAGTGTACTGTAGAAAATTTTAAATTAAATAGTATATATAACGGAATGTCAATCTAATTTCAACTTTAAAATCGAATGAGATAAGAATCAAATTGCGATAGTGTTGATTCAAATATAGTTTTGAATTAGCTCACTACCTGAGGATGTTTCTTGATATTCAGAATCTGTTTTGAACAAAATTGTTAAATAAATCAACACTTCCAGCACTAAAGTTCAGAACCAAACGAATCTCTAAATTGAGAAATGCTAGAATACTCGTAAATATAAAAATATATAGGAAACAATATTTTGAGTATTATCCGCCGTACTGAGGCTTTAACTTATCTACAGGCACGTGTTCACCTGCGATTGCGACTAATCGCATAATCGCAAATGTGTATCAGGACTAAAGACATAAAGGTATAACTTCAAAACTGCGTGACGTTTTTACTCAATAATGGATTTCTCAAGTCCATATAGTATTTTGGCGACTAATCGCAAGTGTGCACGTAGCCTAACCTTCGAACAAGTACAATTATAATTGTTACATATTATGCCAAAAAAGCTTTTCAGAGTTATAATCAAATTTACGAAATAATTTAATTATAAATACAATTAATTGGAAATGTATAATTTTGAAGTTACATTTTATTTACTTTCTTTTACCATTTTTAAGTCACTTAACCTATGTGGGATTTAAATTTTGATAATTTTCCTTTTTTTTACGTAATTTAAGACACAAATGTCTATAATTTTATCAAAAATCACACTTTCAACTTAAAAAAACATGTATAAATAAAGAAAAATGGATTATCTTACACAGGCACACACATTTAACATTACATTGTTTTAATATAAAAAATTAAGATAAATTTTATTTGAAATTATTTTTTTTGATACTATCCTTTAAATTTTCTAATTCCATGATGTATATTTATACGGTATTTAAACCGATTAACAGGTATAACGTATCTTTGAATTGCCCGACGTTTCGACCAAATTGCACTAGCCATAGTCACAATCTGACATCTGATCGACAGCGTATTTGACAGTTAACTTCTTTACATATACATAATGATATTATTTCTAGATTTTTTCAATATCCAATTTCTTTAACACATTTGTTCTCGACTTTATTCATCTTAACAATAACGTGAAGTCCTTATATAGTCACCACTTCAATTCCCTTACAACAAAAAAAATAACGCTAACAAGTACTATATTCAAAGGAATATTGCCGAGAAAAAAAAAGTTTTTTCTAACTACCCTCATATCTAGATGTCAAAAATTCCAAATATTTAACTTTTAGGAAATAGTGTCACCTGTGTAAGATAATACAAGGGTTACTTGTGTACAGGGTGTGATTTATTTAAGGATTCACCAAACAAGGGTGTTCACTGAAGTATACAGTTATTCTTGCGCTGGATTTCTACCTGTGATAGGTTACGTTCTATCTCATCGTCATCTGCTATCCTGGAAATTAAAAAAATATGTATATTGAGTGAGTTGTGTTTATTATTTTATATTAACATTGTGTCCAAAAAAATATAGTTTAAATCAGGGATTCCCAATCTATTTTAGGCAAGTGACCCCTTTTCTAAAATATAATGATATCCAAATTACTGCACGCTTATCGACTTGTTGAGCTTTTTTAAAGTACGACAATGATACTTCCTCATCATCATCATCATCATCATCATCATCAACAGCCTTTAATAGTCCACTGCTGGACATAGGCCTCTCCTTAGAAAGGAGGTTTTGGCCTACTATACCACGCTGGCCAGACGAGTTGGTATAGGGTTTGTTTCAAGTTTTCCTTCTCTCTGCAGTGTGGTTGTCCTGCGTAGTTTGCTCCCTTAGTCGGCTCTTACGACACCCACGGGATGAATAGGGGTGGTGACATTATGTATTCTTAATCCGTCACCACACGGACAGATACTTCCTACTGAAATATTACTCAGTCTTATAACAAGCTGGTACAAGTAAAACAACTAATACAGTATCTTAAAAGTTTCAAATGAGAACTTGTGTTAATTAATAGGGGAGAGGGGGTAGGGGGGTGGTTGATGATGGATATTACATATACATATATTGTTATATCTCTTAAAGTAGTTAATATAAAATGGCATAAGCTGTGGACACATTATGTTTGTATTTTTTATCTCTGAGACAAAACTAACGTTGCGAGGGTTGCTTGTTTTTAGCAATTCTTAAATAGTGATGTGCCTCTTTCGGAAATTCACGTTAATAAAGTCTGGTATCGTTTTTTTATAATAAATTATCCTGAAAGAATGTGTAGGTACTTACAAAAACGTAATAATATAAAATTAATAAGGTGTATATAATATGAAACAAATATTTTTAATTACTTAATTAATTACAGGTATTCATTACATTACATATAAAGATTTATAATTCTGCAACTCTAAACGATATACTACTAAAGAGTTACCACTTTCAGAAGCCATGTCATTAAAACAAGCACTTAAAATTACTTGTTTGTTCTTGTACGATCGCTATACTAATATTTGGTTTCTCTATTTATTATTTCTGTCTTTCTTTTCCTAATTTATTTTTATCTATTTTGATTTACAAACAGGTGCAGCCGTTCCGAAGTAATATATCCTTGAGTCCTTATAATTCTATCTATTGAGATTTATTTAAATACCAGCTGAGACCCGCGTTTGTTGTTATAACCGCGGGCAACGCCGCGGGGCGAAGCTAGTCTAAAAAAAGTAGCCTAAGTTACTCCTAATGTCAACAGCTATCTGCCAGTGAAAGTCCAGTCGAAATCGGTCCAGCCGTTCCAGAGATTACCCGGAACAGACAGACAGGCAGACAAAAATTGTAAAAAATGTTATTTTGGCATACGTACCGTGTAAACATACATATGCATTTAGTAAAAAGCGGTTATTTTAATATTACAAATAGACACTCCAATTTTATTTATTTGTATAGATGTATAGAAAGATATAATTAATGTTTAAAGTTTAAAGAATTTATTATAATTATTTATTACGCTTTAACTCCTTACCTACTTAACCGATCATCATGGAATTTTGTCTACGCGTTGTCAAGGTATCGAAAAGGTTATAAACCTAAAAAGTTATGTATGAAAGGGATAGATAAATTAGTATTTAATAAAAATACTCACGCTCTTTCCTGTTCATCCATTTCTTGAACTAGTCTGTCTCTCTCGTTCACAGCGGAAAGGAGTTCCTAGAGGAAAAAAATAATATCTTGAGACATCTCACACCTGGCTTTCTGATCCCAAACTAGGCAGAGCCTGCACTAAGGTAACCAGACTGCTGATAAACATACTTATATATTTCTAAATACACACATATTATAGATAAAGTACACCCAGACACAGAACAAATGACCGTGCTCATCAATTATTGCAACTAAAATTTTAGTTTACAGCAATTATTACTTAAAAAAAACAGACAAAAAGTAAGAATTTCTTGGTTGACATATTTGTATATTTAAACTTTTAAGTCATAGAGGTACGCAGAAGCGAAATAAACACCTAAATGTTGCCAAGTACAATTTCAATTCAATTCAAACAAAGCAAGCGTATTGCCATCTAGCGACGTTTTTGGGAAATAACGAAGAAATATAATAGCTAGTTTTAATTCAATGCATGCTAACCTGCAGAAGCAGCCTCTCCCTCCTCTTCTGTCCTGGAGTCTTGCGCCACTCGTCCACCCCCAGGGACAGTCTCAGCTCTCGCGCGAGCAGCTCACAGCGACGGCTTAGGTCCTCCTCTTGCTCACTGAGAATCGTAATCATTTTTGATGTGAAATATCGAATGCAGAGTCAGACCGGCTGTTGCCGTGGCGACGCGTCACCACGGCATGTGTCGTCACGCCATGTGATAATGTAATATAGCGGTGTTGCTAAATTTGTTATTTCCTTTTATAAGCTAGGTATCTTTTAAATTCATTTTTCAACAAAATATCTGCCAAACGTTATTTTCGTGTCGGTTTTTTTATGTCTTTAACATCCTAATTATAGGTATAAATCAGATACACGGTTTAAAGAAGTAATTTAACTCCTCTTAAATTGATACGTGACGTTTAATTAGCCACCAGAAACAGCGGTAGACTAATATTTAAAAGACAATTTTAATAGAAAACTAACAACTCGCATATATACAAAACATATAAAGATTATTTTTTTTCGCTTTTCTGTTTAATTTAATCTCAGGAACTATATATATACTCGATAAGTAATTTTTTAGATAGTGTATTAATGTACAAAGCTATATATATATATCTATACTAATATTATAAAGCTGAAGAGTATGTTTGTTTGTTTGTTTGAACGCGCTAATCTCAGAAACTACTGGTCCGATTTGAAAAATTCTTTCAGTGTTAGATAGCCCATTTATCGAGGAAGGCTATAGGCTATATATCATCACGCTAAGACCAACAGGAGCGGAGCACCAATGAAGAATATTTCAAAAACGGAGAAAATTTATTACTATTGAGAGACGCAGACGAAGTTGCGCGGGTCAGCTAGTATATAAAGCTATAGCTATATATATAGGTTAAACGACATGAAGCTAGGACTGGTGCAGCGACCGCCACTTCTTGTTCTCAGTCCTCAACTACTTTAGCCCTCCAAAGCAAATAAACTTCAATAAATAAGGTATACAGGAGACAAAGTGTATACATATGTATTTTGAATATATATACATAATAACTTTTGACCGCGGCTCCGCCTGTATTTCGGTTATCGCAATAATGTGACTCGCTGATAATACAGCTTTCTATTGGTGATAGAATTTTTAAAATCAGTTTGGTGCTTTAGCCGTGAAAGTGTAACAAACAAAGTCACTTTCACATTTATAGTATAAATGTGGATGAATAGGTATATGTTCAAAAAGCACATATTTTAATTTATAATTATAGGCATACTAGCTGAGACCCGCGGTGTTACCCGCGTTTGTTGTTATAACAGCGGGCAACGCCGCGGGGCGAAGCTAGTCTAAAAAAAAGTAGCCTAAGTTACTCCTTATGTAGTCAGCTATCTGCCAGTGAGTCCCGTCGAAATCGGTCCAGCCGTTCCAGAGATTACCCGGAACAGACAGACAAAAATTGTAAAAAATGTTATTTTGGCACATGTAGCGTGTAAACATACATATGCATTTAGTAAAAAGCGGTTATTTTAATATTACAAACAGACACTCCAATTTTATTTATATGTATAGATTTGTCAACCTTATGAAAAGTTTCGAAGGCAAACATGACTAAAATTAATGACTAAATATATCCTTACAGAATATTGAGCTGCATCTGTCTTCTGAGAAGCGCATTCTTCTTGTTGACTAAGTTGAACCATTGGGACATCAGTCTGTCTTCCTCCTACAACAAAATAAGGGATATAAAGTATTAACTCACAGAAAATACATTAACATTTAAGATATACTGCTATACCAGAGGTCGTGGGTTCGATTCCCACCCAGGACAAATAATTGTGTGATGAGCACGGTCATTTGTTCTGTGTCTGAGTGTACTTTATCTATAATATGTATGTATTTAGAAATATATAAGTATGTTTATCGGCAGTCCGGTTACCATAGTAGAGATACCATAGTAGATGTGTGAAGCTGTTATTATAATATCGTGTGAATATAATAAGTTACATCAACAGCCTTTACTAGTCCACTGCTGGACATAGGCCTCTCCTTAGAAAGGAGGTTTTGGCCTACTATACCACGCTGGCCAGACGGGTTGGTACAGGGTTTGAAGTTTTCCTTCTCTAATTCCTAATAAGTTAAATGATCTTTGCAATGTAATTATATGAGTAATAATAAATATATGAAAATTTGATATTGATAAATTAAACTTGGTACATAAAGCTAGTATTTATTAAATGACAGATCTGACACGATCTGAGTCTGCGGTAACCTCACACACAAAGAATTCTTTAACACCAGTTTTCTGCGAAGTCATGTCATGGTATCACTCCGATCGAAACCGGTCTATTTGTGAAGAAACATTGCTCCAGCTAAATAATATTGAAGTAAAATCTTATCTAGGCGAGTTGGGCATTTTTGAGAAACAAACAAAAACACAGTTTTTGAGATGGAAAAAACCAACTGAGGTGTCTTTAACGGTAACAGTGTCGTGAGTATGGAACTCGCGACACTGTTACCGTTACCGATACCTCTGTATATTTATCTACATATATTGGCCCCGTTTACACCAGTGTTGAGTTTGGATTGAAATACATTGATGATATAACTATATATAATATAAACATATATTGTGTATATACGTACAACATAGATATATATTCATGTCGGAACTTTTCGAGTCTAAAATGACAAAAAAATTAAATGCCATAGTAAAAAAAAAACAAGTTTTTACTTCTGTGGGCACTCCCGGACTGCCACTGTTATTTATACACACTTATTAGCTTTACTTGTAAATAACAAAAACAAAATTATCACCTTTTTAAAAAACTTTGGCTTTAATAAAATCTGATAAGGTAAGGAATAGGATTAATCATGAGGGTTACCGGATCTTTGGGAATTTGGACACATGATAGGAACAGTCTTCGCCACATCCTCTGAAAGTTAATATCGTATGTTTTAATGTTGCTAATATAGATAAAAAACTGACAAAGAGCAAGTCGCTTGCGCACACAAGGTGTTAAAAACATAAGATTTAATTAAAAAAGCCAAAATGATCGTTTCGTGTATAGTAACTCTTTACTGATAATACGTTGTTATTAAAATGAAAATAGGGATACACTCTGTGTTTTTTCTTTAAAGACAACTCGCGCATTAGGAATATATCCTGTGTCGCAGGGGACTTTTTAACGGACACAAAGAACACCCAGACTCAGAACAATTTGTGAATCACACAAAGTGTCGTCCCATGTGGGGTTTGAACCCACAACACTCGGCGTAGTAGGAAGCGGCGTGGCGACAGCTTAAACCACTACGCCATCCGTGCAGTCAGAATCTCAGTTCATCAATCAGTTCTTTTAGTTGGAATCGAACCCGCACCATTCACCTACTGCGCTATCCGTGCTGTCAAAAAACTTGATCAGAACTACGAGAAATATGGTAATCATTGGTTAGTAAAGGCGAAGGTACTGGGGGAAGACAAATCAAATGTTCCTTGACCTCAGTATTGTCAGCAGACTCCATAACTCTCCTTAGCTGCTTCTCCAGCGCTGCAGCTCTCTCGTCGATGGCGAACTGCTCCTTCTCCAACGCCTCCAGCTCACTCTGTATGTACGAGCCGGTCTCTTTGCCCTGCAGGTGAACAAGTCATACAATTAATGTAATAATATATATGTAAAGAACAATAATATTGGTACTTTAATTTGAATCTGCCGCGTTTAAGATCGTCGGTAATGTAGTGCGTGTGAAGTGGATAAAACAGAGTAAGTTATGAAGAGTGTCAAATACAAAAAAGGATTGACAGAAAAGTGAATTGTAAAACGTAGATTAAAATATTGAGAGAAAATAATAAAATAGAATAGCTAGTGAAGAATAAACTATAATGTCGTTTCTTTGTTTGTTGCTTGTAAAAATAGTGTTTATTGAGAATAAAAACTTTGTTTACAGAGCAATACAGTTTATATCAATTACTAGCCCTAAATTGAAGAATCAATCTATATAAATAATATATAAGAAGAAATATATATATATATATATAACACAGGGAGTTTACTTTGTTGATAGGGGAGGGGGGGGGAGTCAAACGAGTAGACGAGACACCAGGGCGTCAATTCTGCTATTTTAATATTGTATCAATAGACTGTTGTTTTGCGCTTTTCGTATTCTATTATGTTAAACCAATGGCCTCAAGATGATTTGTCACTGAACTGCCATTGACAGAAATGTCGTCGATGTCTTTGTAATAGTTTGGTAAACGGTACATTTTAAATTTGTAATAAAATTATATATTTCATACTCCAGATATGGCAATGTTGTTGATATTACCATTGATGAGCCATTGTCACTATCATTGACAGACTATTGACACCATGAATTTATGTTAGTAGAATACTGATATTTTGACCGATGTCAATGGCGTCTCAATAGTGTGTCAATGGAATGACACTGGCTTGTACGTCAACATAAAGTAGCAGAATTGAGGACCAGATGGAAAAAGACTACCGTTTGTCACAAGCGTTTTGCTGGCCTTTAGGAATATTCTCTTTACTTTAACGTTTAGAGGTCGCATTGATATTAATATTATAAAGCTGAAGAGTTTGTTTGTTTGTTTGAACGCGCTAATCTCAGGAACTACTGGTCCGATTTGAAAAATTCTTTCAGTGTTAGATAGCCCATTTATCGAGGAAGGCAATAGGCTATATATCATCACGTTAAGACCAATAGGAGCGGAGCACCAATGAAGAATGTTTCAAAAATGGAGAAAATTTATTACTATTGAGAGACGCAGACGAAGTTGCGCGGGTCAGCTAGTCAGAAATACGTTTGGAGTGCTAATTATGGCCAATGGTGGACACCGAGCAGACGGATCACTTGATGGAAAGTGATTACCGCCTATTCATGTATATTCACAAGCTAATTATTGAAACCGACTACGTAAAAATGTTTACCAATTTAAAAAAAAAAAAAACATTTATCCTATTTCAATTTTTATAATTTTGTATCTTCTTGAAACTCGACCTGTCAAGGAGCGGGGCTCGGTCGATGCGTCACTATTTTCTTAACGCGAATGGTCTATAAATTTGACATTCGTCCACAACACACAAATATATTTGCGTAAGTAAGCCAGGAGTAGATGCTGGTACCTCATCGGGCAGGTCTTTGTCGGGCGTGAGGCGGTCGACGAGCGCCGAGAAGGACTGCAGCGGGGAGCGCCGCGCGTCGTCGCGGCCCAGCGTCTCCTCGCCACCGCTCACGCGACCCTCTGCGGGATATACAACATTTTTAGTACCAAATCATCACATCACATCAACAGCCTTTACTAGTCCACTGCTGGACATAGGCCTCTCCTTAGAAAGGAGATTTTGGCCGACTATACCACGCTGGCCAGACGGGTTGGTATGGAGTTTGTATTCCCAGCGCCGTGAGGTTTCAGTCGGTCCGATTCCGACACACCACGCCACCACAAGTTCTCTTTCCAGTGCTGTTGTCCTGCATAGTTTGCTCCCTCAGTCGGCTCTTACGACACCCACGGGATAAATAGGGGTAGTGACACTCCGTATCCTTAATCCGTGACCACACGGATCAGTATCAGTCACATTTAAATACCCCCTTTTCTATCACTTGGAATATTTAGGGATTATTAGAATATAAAAAAAAATCACGCTACAACCCTTAAATACAAAACAATGACCGTAAAATCAGGAAACAACTAGTATCAACGAAAAAAATAATTAAATCTCACTCACCAGATCTATCAGGACTAATAGAACTTTTCCTGGAGCCAGGACTCGAGGGTACGGAATCCGTTCTGCCCAGCATTGCATCCAGCTGTTCTACCCCACCAGCTGTGTAAACAATAACCACCATGATACGATTCGGTGATGTTCTCTTATAGAATTTCTAATGTTTGGTTTATTCTACGTCTTGCGTTTGTTTATAGATGTTCAAAACATAAACAGGATTTTTCAAATACCTTTTATGACAGTTGCCGAGATCAAGAGTTGATCGGAACTGAATTTTGACCGGACTTTTACTACGAAAATTGACCTTGTGGTCTAGATTCTCCACCATGTAGGGGATAGAATGGCAGCCTGAATGCATTATGCGGCCGCCACGCCGCGATTGAGGAGAGGAAGCGTTTTCCCCTGGGATAGGTAGGATAGGTCCTGATTCGGCATGGTGTTAATTCGGGGAGGACCTGAAATAACATGGTCCGGGTACTCCCAGAGTAGGACACCTAAGGACGGCAGGTGGTTTTCAGTGGAATCACCATATACTCCTGGCTCCTGAGTCCCCGAGGAGCAGGAGATCCGAAGGAATTTTTCACCCCGTCAACAAAATCCTCCATCATGCTGACGACAGTAGATAACTATTCAGGATTGAATAGCTTTTGTACTGACCTGCGACAATCTCGTCCATGACAGACTGTTTGCTGATAATCTCGACGGTGCCGGTGCGAGAGTTGCGGGACGGTGACAGCGGAGATGTCGGGCTGGAGACAAACAGACACATATTTATAAAAATATATTTTTTCCGGCAGAAAATTAAAATGATTCGACTCAGAATCACGGTCAAAATACACTATTTCAATATTCGTTACGACGTCGCTTACACCCTGTATATACATATATCGGGTGATATAAACACATATATGGGTCTGTCGCTGTTTTTTCGTTGCTTCTCAACGAGGGAGTGAGGTTACAGGTGGCAAACTTCCACATCCCCTAATTTTGGGGGGAGAATACCCAAGGGGCGAACGCTTAAACCATTACGCTATCCGTGCAGTCAACAGTTACCTTACAATACCGGCTCTGGCATCAGCAATCAGTTTCCTTGCTCGCTCCCGCAACATCACTTGTCTCTCTTCCTCCGTCATAGGCTAGAAAAACAAGTCACTTATAATTTTACTCTGTATTTAGTTCAAATAAAACAAATTCTCTGAACTATATTCGTAGCATATATCTTGTAATCAATGTATTGATATAGACTCTATCTCTCCAGAAGGCCATCTCTGTCTCTATATTATAGAGACAGAGATGGCCTTATGAAACAGCGTAGTAAGTAAGCTTAACAAACGGCCTGCAAAGTCATAAAACCATATAAAAGACGCTTTTGAAGTGAAAACTTCTAAAGGCGCGGTTGGGCATTTTTGAATAATAGAATGTATTTTTTGAGATGGGAAAAAAACATTGAACTCGCGACACTGTTATCGTTACCTACACCTCTTTATATAAGTATCTACATATATTGGCCCCGTTTACACCAAAGTTCCGATGATGGAGGTATGCCCGAACATATATTTAAAAGAAACCAGTGGCCGTCCGGGAGTGCCGACAAAAGTGAAAACTTGACAATTTAAAAAATTTTGATTGTAACAGGAATTTTATTTTTCAATTCAAAATGTTCCGACATAATATATATCCATGATGTACGTATATACACAATATATGTTTATATTATACATAGTTATCATATCAATGTATTTAAACCCAAACTCAACTCTCGTGTAAACGGGGCCAATATATGTAGATACTTATACCTATACAGAGGTGTCGGTAACGGTAACAGTGGCGCGAGTTCAATGGTTTTTTTCATCTCGCTACTTTTTTCTGGTTGTTGTTCAAAAATGCCCAACGCGCCTAAAGAAGACTTCACTTCAAACAGACTTCATTTTCCTTACTTGTCGATTCAATTTAGGAGGATAATATCATCATCATCATCAACAGCCTTTAATAGTCCACTGCCTGGACATAGGCCTCTCCTTAGAAAGGAGGTTTTGGCCTACTATAGCACGCTGGCCAGACGGGTTGTACAGGGTTTGTTTCAAGTTTTCCTTCTCTTCTAGAAGGATAATATGACTAAATTATAATGACGTACTAAATTGTCCTCTACGTCTAAACTAATCTCTATCACTAAAATGAAATAAATGATTCGCAACCCTTACCTTCTTAGGACTGACGTCACCATTTCTATGACCATTTAAATCAACATTTTCATCCCTCTCCTTCGAATTCTGCCTTCTATTCCTGTCCTTTTCTCTCGCCTCGCGTTTGGTGGCTTCTAGGAGCTGTCTCGCTCGCTCTTTGAGCTCATCGTGACGCGAGAGCAATTGCTGGCCAATAGGAATCATTTGGTTTTGGCCAATCACAAGCGGCGTCGATCGAAGCGTCAAACACAGGCAAGCGATGTCGATGGGCAATTGAAACAAATGAATTGTTTTTTTTTTATTTATTCCTACAGACAGCAACACACGATTTAATAAAAATGGTAAGCTGAAGAGTTTGTTTATTTGTTTGAGTCTCATCCGCTAATCTCCGTAACTATAGTTAAACCGCCGTAAGCTTGGCCCTCCTGATGGTTTGCGGGACGCGGGGCGGGTGATGCGCTCGGCTATACATGACACGATGTACTAACTCGATATCTTCAGATTCATTTGTTTGAGATTTAATCTACACACGATGTAATCAAAATCGAATTTATTTCCATGTATTATAATGTCAGTGTATTGTAAGTTTTTATGATTAATTGTAAAATTTAATACTGTAAAATAATTTTAATAAAATCACCTTATCTTCATCATATAAATTATATTCAGATACAATTTTAAAAATTAAGTAAAATAATAAATATTCTTTATTAGAACTTTAACAGTAGAACCTCTGTAAGCCGAACTTCAAGTTTTTAAATCTTTTTGTGACGCAGAGTCGGCAGATTATCCATGTTGCAAAATAATACCGTGTGTAGCAGTCTTAAGAAAAATAACACGTACAACCATGCTTTCACGTCAGTCACTGCCGGCGGACAGCGACGCACTAGCTGATTGGTTGAATGCACCCCCGCCCCGCGTCCCCCAAACCATCAGGAGGGGCAAGCTTACGGCGGTTTAACTATAGTATTTGACAAAACTGAGATTGTTGCTTTTGTGTGTGTTGATCTATGCCTTTAGAGTCTACATAAAACACGATTTCAAACAATTTTAATTTTTTTATGAAATAAAGAGAGTTTGAGTTTACTGTCAATTCGGAAAATTCTTTGAATGTTGGATAGTCTATTTCTTGTGAGAACTATAGGGGACCAATTTGAGCCAAGCATTCTGAAGAAATCCAAGAAAACTGATGCAAAATTGTTTTTTTTTTCTTTTTTAAAAGACGCAGACGAACTAATCAAACGTGTTCTTGAATCTTAAACTGTATTACATAATATATCCTGTGTTGCTGACTGTATTATGTTTCTAATGATAATGATTTACTTAGCAGATCGTATGTACTAAGTGCCTAAAAAACCTTACCACACCCAATATTGGACGAAACAAACGAAAACAAAGACATAACATCAACCCAACGTGTGACGTCATAAGATGCGGTAATCCAATGATTTTTACATAAGTCATAAACTCTAGAATTTTAATACTTCCTATAAATCTTACTAATATTATAAGGTTATACAGAGTATTATTATACAGTATATTTTAAGGGTATATATAAAAGTTTATCCAGATGTATGGATGTTTGATACTCTTTAACGCAAAAACGTCTGAACGGATTTGGATTAATTTTTTCACAGAGATAAATTATAATATGGAATAGCACATACGTTACTTTTTATCCTGAAAAAATGTAGTGTTCCCATGAGCAAGGTACAAAAATAACCGCGGGTAACACCGCAGGGCGCAGCTAATAATAAATAATCTAGAACCGTCATTTTTATTGTCACTTTATAATGGTCGTAAAGGATATTTAATGTTCTATTAATTACAATAATTGTTTTACGCGTGATATATAATATGACTCATCATCATCATCATCATCAACAGCCTTTAACAGTCCACTGCTGGACATAAGCCTCTCCTAAGAAAGGAGGTTTTGGCCTACTATACCACGCTGGCCAGACGGGTTGGTATAGGGATTGTATCAAGTTCTGCAGTGCTGTTGTCCTGCGTAGTTTTCTCCCTTAGTCGGCTCTTACGACACCCAAGGGATGAATAGGGGTGGTGGCATTCTGTATTCCTAACCACACGGACTAATATGGCTACAACTCATAAATTTTTTGGACACCCATCTATATGAGTAATGTAATTTTCTATTTATTAATAATAAAATGATGTAGTATTATTGGCATTTGGTTAGAATAAAAACAAAACTCAAGAAACATTAGTAAGAGTTACTTATAAAACAATAAAATTAACTTATTTTGTTCATTTGTTCATATTAAACATATTATTAGGAATGCTATAGTTTGGAAGTATGTTTGTTACTCAATCACCCCAGAATGACTAAACGAATCTGGATGAAATTTAGCACAGGGATAGATCATAGTCTGGAATAGCACATAGGTCCTTAATTAAAACCCATCTACAATATTTTTTTATTACAAAATATCATACGAATGTGTTATCGCTGATGATTTAATTTCGATTAAGTTTTTTGTATTGTATATACTGTTTGTTTATTGGTTGAATGCACTAACCTCGGGAACTACTGGTTCGTTTTTAATTTTTTTTTTCTTTTAAAAGACAACTCCCGCATTAGGAATATATCCTGTATCGCGAGGGACTTTTTAACGGACACAAAGAACACCCAGACTCAGAACAACAATTTGTGGATCACACAAAGTGTCGTCCCATGTGGGGTTTGAACCCACAACACTCGGAATAGTAGTAAGCGGCGTGGCGACCGTTTCAACCACTACACCAATACAGTACTATAGTATTACTTTATTGCTATTTTTTGTCAATTTGTATTTTTTGTTACGTCAAAAAAATAACACAATTATTTAAAATGGCTGCCCTGTTTGGTTCAATAAATGTCAGATCCGACACTATTCTACGAGTATGACGATTATAAATACTCATGATATAAATGAATTATAAACAATACAGGCACATACACTACAAGCCATAATTGTCACAATATTAGTCACTTACCGGCGTGGGTTTTGGCAGTTCCGGAGACGTTGGCTTAGGAACGTTATTCTGTTGGCGGTTGTCTATTTGTTCCTGTTGTGACTCCGTCGTCTGTTCCGTTGCAGGGGGTGGTTTGGATTCCGGTTTGACTGAGGATTAAAGAACATTTTTGGTGCTATTTTTAAATTATAGAAAACTGCCGCATTAGGAATATATCCTGTGTCGCGGGGGATTTTACAAATATACATGAAACGGACACAAAGAACACTCAGACTCAGAACAACAATTTGTGGATCACACAAAGTGTCGTCCCATGTGGGGATCGGAGCCTATCATCATCAGCCTATCGCAGTCCACTGCTGGACATAGGCCTCTCCCATTGCACGCCACTTAGATCGATTTTGGGCTTCTCGCGTCCAGCTCCTGCCAGCCATCTTGCGCAAATCGTCACTCCACCTAGCCTGTGGGCGTCCCATATTTTTATCCTATTTTAATTATGTTTATTTGGACAACCAACAAGAAGACCTTAAAAGCAAAAGATACAAGGGCAGTGATATACAAGCATTAGTTCTGCTTTAATTACGGGTTGCTACGGAAAGCATAATAATAAAAGAGATTATGGTTGTGGTATGGTCCATGAATATCTGTACTTTATTAAAATTTCTCTATAAAATGTGTGTATTTATAAATATATAAGTATGTTTATCCAGCAGTCTGGTTACCATAGTCTGTACTGTGGTAACCAGACCAGGCTGTGCTCAGTTTGGGATCAGACGGCCGTGTGTGAGATATCTCATGTTATTATTATTATTATCTTATAAAACCCCCCTGGTAGTTAGCGGTTACCATCAAAGATTCTGGTACTCCACTCATCATATAAACTCACCGATTTCATTATTCCCATTATTTTGATTCTGCGGTTGCGTCACAGCATTATCTGGTGGCTGTTCCTCCTCATCGTCAGAGCCGAACGGATCTGTCAACTCCTTGCGGGTCATCAGCTTCTCCGGTCGGACTGGAGGCGACTGTGACATAAAAATACTGCTAAACAAACGGAACATTCTCTAACCTTAGATCTATAGTACTGTAAGTAATATGTTCTACTGAACACCCCCGACACCAGCATCCACTTGGGTCGATGCTGGTGTCGGGGTACGGTCTTTTGTAAACATATAGACAAAGAAAATTCAAAATTCAAATCATTTCCTATAAGTTAAACGCTTTTAATTAAATAATGTTACAAAACTTGGGGTTTGGGTGCAGCATCAGGTCAAGGCGACCACATCATGGTAATACTAAAGTATCCAGTACACCAAATTTCAAATCATTCAGAGTTGTGTAAGTCAGTGAGATCCCTTCATCAACTAACAAATGAGCTGATGATATTTATTTTTTTAGTTACAGGGGGCAGACGAGCAGACGGGTCACCTGATGGAAAGTGACTATCGCCGCCCATGACCGTCAGCAACTCAGGAGTCACAAACGCGTTGCCGGCCTTTTAGGCAGAAGTACGCTCTTTTCTTGAAGGTTTGAAGGTCGTACCGGTCCACAGACGATAACCCGTTCCACAGATTGGTTGTGCGGCAAAAAGTGTCTCAAAAAGCGCACAGTAGTGGAGCGCCAACTATCCAGAGAAGGAGGATGAACATTTTGCCGTGTGGAACGATGGCGGAAAGTTGCGGCTGGTATTATTCCGAACAATTCCTCGGATTTCCTTGATATACACAAATTATAGCCAAGAACCAATAAAAAACCGTATTAATAGGTCATTTCGTTTAGGAGCCATGATGCCACAGGCAGACACACAGACATTATAGCTCCCCTTTTTTTGCGTCGGGGGTTAATAAAATTTGAATGTCTGTTTGTAACATTATTGAATTAAAAGCGTTTAACTTATAGGAAATAATTACACGAAATTAAAAAAAAAACAATTTTGATTTTCTTTGTCTAAATATTTGGTTAATCTCCGGAACTGGTGACCTGATTTACATGTAACTTTTACCGTTTTCAATATTTAGTCATAAATAAAACTGCTGTCAGCTACCAACCTCACTAACTTTTAAAGGGTCAGTGAACCACTTGGCTGTGGATTTCTGCGTATCCTGGAGCCTCAGGTCCCTGGCGGGGGACAGCATCTTGCCCAGGATAGTCTTGGATTGCTGCAGGAACATGTCGCGCACGTCCTTCATAGCAGTGGGGGAGCTCGGCTTGTCTGGGCTGGCGCGCTCCTGGGACTGCCGAGACTCTTGCGAGTCTTGAGACCTGTAAAGAAACGAGCAGACGGGTCACGACTTGGTTAAAGTACAGCAAACGTCAGTTATCAATTAAATGTTAACTTTTTAATATCTTCAAATTATAATAATTTTTCAGGAATCTGACACACAACGCCATCTAGTTGCAAACTAAGCAAAGCTTGTACTATGAAAACTAGATTGACTGATAGAATACTTATATGCTTTTCTTTTTTGTAAATACATACATATTATACATAGAAAACACCCAAACTCCGAAACAAATATTTGCAAATCGCAAACAGGTGCGATCAGGGAATCAAACCCAAGACCTCAGAACAGCAGTCGCATACGCTACCACTGCACCACAAATGCAAATCAAATGAACGTTAAAAGTAAATGATTTGACAACAGCCTAAGCAATAATATTTCAATCAAAAATGTACCGCGAATATCATTTTGTCGTTTAATAAAAAGATACTGTTTTTTTTTTAAATAACTTCACACATCTCACACACGGCCAAACTAGGCAGAGCCTGTACTATGGTAACCAGACTGCTGATAAACATACTTATATATTTCTAAATACATACATATTATAGATAAATAACACCCAGACACAGAACAAATCGTCGTGCTCATCACACAATTATTTATCCTGAGTGGAAATCGAACCCACGAACTCCGGCTTAGCAGTCAGGGTCACTAACCACTAGACCAACAGGCCTTGACTTGAAAGTCATCTACCCAATTTGAACTAGTACCATATCAAGTAAATCGGGAAATTAAAACAATTAGTTTATGCGTAATGAAGTTGATGATACTTTTTTAAGCGGAAACGGCGGTAGCCTAGTGGTTAAGGCATTGGACTTGCGATTAAGAGGTCGTGGGTTCGAATCCTGACCAACACACTACCGACGTGAACCCACTCTTAACACAAACAATTTAGCTTAGCGGGGAGGTTAACGGGAATACTAGTAATTTCGGTTGTTAGTAAACCAGTTTGTGGCTACTTTATTATTAAATCACTAGCGGACCCGACAGACGTTGTCCTGTCAAATTTGACACTGCGATGGTAGCGCCGTCTGTCTGATCCAATGTAAAACATTCCAAAATCAACAACTACTAATAAATTAAAAATTAATTAAAAAAACATTGTCCAGCGGACAAAATAAAATTGTGAATCTAAACCATTCCCAGATCCCCTTGAACACACAAAAAAATTCATCAAAATCGGTCCAGTCGTTTGAGAGAAGTTCAGTGACATACACACTCACAGAAGAATTATATATATAAAGATATTATATTCTTCAAGGTCATCTCACGAAGACACTCCAACTACGGAGTTACTGTTAATCCTGAATCGCGATATGAACAATTCTCACGCCAATTAGCATACATACAACTTCCCAACATCAACCGTTGGGCCATGATCACCTCAGCTGGTCGTAAGACCCGGTGAGGTCATCATGGCCATTTTTTTTAACCTTAATTAATTACCGCTTATAACCTTAGAGGCATTAATTAAACGATGTTAACACTGACATTCTGTAAATGGAATCTATTATGGCGGGCATCACAGGGCTTCAACTCTTCATTCAGCTAGTAGTTTGATTATTTTAAATTTTATGACTTACCCTATAACTCCATCATCAATAGAGAGCAAGTTAACGGAAAGGAGATTGAGATAGTATGGACATGTCATGAGAACGACAAGCCTACCAGAACACAACGGAGGTCGAGGACTACCTCCTTTGATATGGTGGACGAGACCAGTATGACGGAGCTTCTGAAGAAGAATTAACCCGACCCGACAATCCTTGACCCTTGATGAGGCTAGGAAGAAGAAGAGATGACTTACCCTGGCCTTGGCCTATCCGACATATTCCTAGATCTCCGGGTGCTGATCTCTCTGCTGAACAAATCTTGGGGCATGGAGCCGTCGGTATCATGGCGGCCGACTAGGTATGAAGACTCTGTTTCGTCGTTACCTTTAAATAAAAATATAAAAATTTTGATGAAAATATTTTAATTGGAATTCAGAAAGTTTTTTTTATAACAACATATAGAAAAAATAATATTTTTTATTAATATTTCGGACATCTGACACACAACGCCATCTAGTTTCAAACTAAGCAGAGCTTGTACTATGAAAACTAGATTAACTGATAGAATAGTTACATTTTTTTGTTGTAAATATATACATACATATTATGATAGATAGAAAACAGCAAAACAAATATTTGCAGATCATAGAAACATTAGATCCGACCCGGAAATCAAACCCGAGACCTAAGCACAGCGATAATAATAATAATTTCACACATTTTAGTCACTACCGTCTGATCTTAAACTAGGTAGAACCTGTACTATGGTAACCAGACTGCTGATAAACATACTTATATATTTCTAAATACATACCTACTATAGATAAATTACATTCAAACACAGAACAAATGATCGTGCTCATTACACAATTATTATTCCTGGGTGTGAATCGAACCCACAACCTTTGGCTTAAAAGTCAGGTTCACTAATCACTAGACCAACAGGCTAAACGTCCTCTAGTTAAGTCAACAGTTAACAGTAGTTATGTTTCTTACACGTTGCAAACCCGTTATAAATATATATTCGCCTTACCCAGCTGTTCCACTTGCAGTTCACTACCAGTGAAGTGTGCCCTCAATTGAAATAGATATGTCATAATCTGAAACAAACAAATGGTTATTTAATCCTCAAACGCAAAAATGAAAAGTCAGCATGTGTATCTATGGCATAATAACTCATAAACGAATGGACTGGTTTTCACTTTGTTTGAATTTGCCCTCAATACAGGGCAAAAGAGCAGACGGGTCACGTGAAGGTAAGTAACTATCGCTGTCCATGGATATCTATATTTCAAGATTGCCCCCCCCCCCCCCCCAGAAATAGGGCGGGGGGTGAGATCGGGAATTCAAGATAGGATTACATGAAGGTAAGTGACTACCGCTGTCCAGGTATATTTACAATTCAAGATTGCGCTCCCTTAACAAAAGAAGGTATAGGAGGCTAAAGAGCAGACGAGTTATGTGTCCCTTTACTCCAGCATGGAATAGGGAGGGGGTTAGACTCCAGTGATGTGAGGAAGTTCCACTAGAAGCAGCAGATATGAGTAGTTACCGCGAGTCGGTCGGGGGTGTGGCGCGAGGTGACGTCGGCGGCGGTGAGCACCTGCGAGATGCCCAGCGTGGCGCTCGCCTCCAGCGCCACGCGCAGGTTGCGCTCCGCCTCGTCCGGCTGCAGCCCGGAGAAGTCGCTGCAACGTCACACCACACCTTATATACAACCTACCATTTACTAGCCTGGTGACATGTCCCTCGAACACAGAGGATCCCACGACCAGGCGAGGTGATCATAGGTTGATATTAGAAAATAGTATATATGTACTAATCGGGATCAGAACTCTTCATATCGCGATACAGGATTAGCAGTTAATCCGTAGTTCGGTGTGTCTTGGTTAGATGGCACTATACTATGTTTTTCTTTTATTGTATGTGGAAATCACCACACCAATCCCCTTCAAAACCGGAGGTCGCTTTGTTGTAAGGCTTAAAATCGCCATTAGAAACTAGTTCCAGTTTTAACGTTAAGTAGTTTATGTTTGCTACCTAATTTATTAACGTTACACTATAACGCCATCTAGCGAAAAGAAACAGAACTACATAGTTACTTCCTGAACCTGTATCGCGCAATCACAATTTTCACTTTAATTATTATGTAAAGGAATCCCTAAAATATGACATAATCTCCTATACATATTCTTCTTCTTCTTAAAAAAGACAACTCCCGCATTAGGAATAAATCCTGTGTCGCGAGGGACTTTACAAACATACATGAAACGGACACAAAGAACACCCAGACTCAGAACAACAATTTGTGGATCACACAAAGTGTCGTCCCATGTGGGGTTTGAACCCACAACACTCGGCGTAGTAGGAAGCGACGTGGCGACCGCTTAAGCCACTACGCCATCCGTGCAGTCGATATTATTCAATTCAAATAGCTTACTTACAACTAATAAAGTATAATAACTCAGTGGTGCCCTCTGTTCCTATATACATCTATTTTTACTCTTTTATCTTCCCCTTTTTAAAAAAAAGAGAAGGAGCTTTATAATATTTACAACTTCTCTACCATTACTTCCTCTCACTTAAAGTGCTCTCCAAGCTACTGCAGTGTCAGTCCCATTCTCTTCTTACGGTACCTGTTAACCTAACTTCCACACCCTACCTGGTTTCCTTACTTGAATGTAACTTCTTAATTACATCTCGTCTGAAAACATTGTCAAGAAGATTTGAGGATAGGCAGGCGACCGACCATTAAAACACTGGATGAACTGGAATCCAATGGATGATGATGAAAAAAGTGATGAAGACTAAAATGGTTTATAAGGATTTCTCACATGAGATCAGGTCTAAACCGATGTATGATGGCGCAGAAGGCGAGTCCGGAGCGGAAGCTGGTCGTCAGGTTGGTGACTCGACACGACTTGTACTCGCGAGTTACAGACTGGCACCACTCCAGCAGATCTTGCACCTGGAACCAACACAAAGAGTTTTTAATGTAAAGATGTAACTTTCTTTCGCCCACGGCTTCACTTGCGGTAATACCTCAGAGAAAGTTTTTTCGTACAACTATTTCATTGATGCTATTAGACTCCTATTAGCCGTAGCGTGATGTTATATACCCTATAGCCTTCCTCGATAAATGGGCTAGTTAACACTAAAATAATTTTTCAATTCGAAGCAGTAGTTCCTAAGATTAGTGCGTTTAACCAAACAAACAAAATTTTCAGCTTTATAATTTTAGTATGGAAAAAGTACTCGGCAATACGCTGAAATGACGGGAAGATTTTTGCATTTTTTATTTGTTTTTGCGAAAATATGTTACAAATATTCATTTCTGATCAAAAAAATGTTACGATTTAACCCAGATACTGTAAAATTTCCAAAATTTCTTTCTGTAATGCACTTTTAGATATACTTTTTAATGAAATTTTTATAAAATGGATAATATATTATAACTGCACCTTTTTAATTTTTATTTCAATAGCACATTAGCTTGTCACTACAAAAGCATTAAATATATTCTGTAAATATGTGCGTAAGTTGAAATATTTTTTTATTTCTACCTACTTATGGGACAGTAGGCTTATCTGGGTTACTAAAAATAATAATTATGACCGACTTACCGGAGTTTTATCCTTCTCAAACCTCCCCGGGAACAACTCCATATCAGCAGCAGTAGGAGTCTTATCGCTGTCCTCCTCTTTCTCATTCTCATTTCTATCCAAGTTTATACTATTCAAATTAGTCTTTAACTCCAGCGGCTTAAGGTTCCTTTTCGTAAATGTCTTGGGTTTAAACGGTATGCCTTTGAAGGTGTCTGTCTTAGGTTCTATGATTATGTTCGTTTTTGGTGTTGAGGAGAATTTGGGTTCTGGTTTCATGGCCATCTTGGTTAAATTACTTAACATTTCGGGTCTCGATTTAGGTATTAGAGGGTCAACTTTAGAGTCAATGTCGTTAGGGGTTGGATCGCGAGGGACTGGGGTTGTGGGGCTATTGTTTTCTGGGGTTATAGGCGCTGTGGGCGTGCGGGAGTTGTCGAAGTTGAGACTCTGGACGCTGTTGGGGGTGGCTGCTATGTCACTGCTGGTAAGGCTTTGGGTCATTTCTTCCATTTGTTGGCGGAGGTCAAACATCTGCAGAAGTTGAACGATAATTATGTAGCTTAATTATATATCTTTTGATATCGTGTTACTAAATACGTTTATACCGTCACAAAAATCACGAAAATTCGAGAAAGAAAGAGACAGTTAATTTAACCCAGCAATTCCAGGAATATGTCTTATAATAATGCAGGGTGGCGCGGAACAATGCATTTTATAACAATACGCATTAGATCGAAGATAGGTTGTCGCGCGATTATTTTGTTTACATTTAAAACGCATTTGTATTTCCCTGAAACAATTCTTGTAAGAATTAGAATTTACTACAATGAACCTTCTAGTGGTCTTTACGAGTAGTGGCACGTTTTCAGTCAGTCAGTTCAGTTTGAGCTACAGTGCGATAAACACCGAAGCGATCTAAGCGAACAGAAGAGTAACCTGGCGATTATTGTCCCATTATATAGTATTGTTTGAACGTCTTTTAGTGTACTTTAAGTAGTCGTCAGAAGGCTTATTATTCCAAATCAACGAATACGTAACAATACATCACGTCTTTATTTTCGACAGTAGACAGAGGTATTAAAACACCCCTATAACTTGAGTATTTTCTCCGTCTTTACGTCTTCTTTTATCTTTTATAAAAGACGTAAATATGTACGTATGTATGTATATATACTAAAACTGCTAAAATATACTTGCACCTTTCTATAACACCCTATATAATCCTAAGCAAGCTATATACTGGTACTTAGATTGTACGAAAAAAGCATAAGTAAGGGTGTATGCTCACCTGTCTCGTGGAGTGATCAGACAGTGTGTAATCATCTTCATCTAAGTCTTCTAGCACGGCTATGTCCGAGTTGTTGTTCACTGACAGCAGTGACGCCAATGACTGCATGTCTTCGTCTCTGTAAATGTTGAGCCATTTTTGATGCAACTTTAAAAGAAACATAGTTCTCAATTCAGTGGCTGGATATATTTTCCTTTGTTACTTTTGCTGGCAACGAAAGGGAGTTACTAAGGGAGCGAAGGAAGCTAGATTACTAAGACCCTGAACTATTATTAGTTACCCAGGATTAGTTGAGCCATGTAACATTTATCTATTCATTCACTTAACAACGATTAATATAAGGTTCAAAATACAATGATACATGTTTATCATCACAATATTATACTAAAATTAAATACTCACATGGCATGTCACTGTTACTACCAATTTATGACCAGCAACGCCATATATTATCAAGCTAGCTTCTTACTCTTCGAATAATATTGAACTTCCATACAACCGTTCTTCCCTTATTTTACCCCCTTAGGGGTGAAATTTCCAAAAATCCTTTCTTAGTGGGTGCTTACAAAGTAAAAACCATTAGCTGCAGAAATTTCAAGTGTCTAACTTAAGCGGTTTAGGTTCTCCGTTTATGGATCCGTCAGTAAGTCAGGGCAGCTTATATTGTATTTATAGATAACGCTTTAATCGCATACAAATAAGGCTCAAATTACAACAGTACTCACGTAGCCTGCCCCTCTCTCAGCAGCACACAGTGCAGCGTGAGATGTATGGAGGCTGCGACGATCTTCTGTGTGGTGGGCTCCAGGTTCAACACCAGGCACCGCTGCGAGGGCTCCAGGCTCGCGTACTTCCGCATGTTGATGGAACACACCGCCAAACGACGCCGTTTACCTGTCACTGATACCTGGAACACCAGAAATTAAACCCTGAACTCAGAACTGAAAGAAAAAAGACAAACAGTGAAATCAAGGATCACAACACACTTTAGGAACATGTTGTGACATGAAAAATAAGAAAGAGAGGTGTATATTTTCAAGAACTTTCAATTCTAACGCGCGTATTTACTCCTGTTTTCTCTTGCACTCACAATATTGTTAGTTATTCGTCACATCCGTAGTTTCTAGTTTTTTTTTGTTTTCTTTTCATTTAAAAAGAAAACTCCCGCATTAGGAATATATCCTGTGTCGCGGGGGACTTTACAAACATACATGAGACGGACACAAAGAACACCCAGACTGGGAACAACAATTTGTAGATCACACATCGTCCCATGTGGGGTTTGAACCCACAACACTCGGCGTAGTAGAATGCGGCGTGGCGACCGCTTAAACCACTACGCCATCCGTGCAGTCGATTATAGAACAGTAAAATAAGATACTGTACTGAACTCCATTTAAATATGGAAAATGTCCACAGCCAATACTAACACTTTCCGTTCTATGTTAATTTTAAATCCGCTTTACTTACAAATTACAGAATAATATTTTTTTAAAGGTAGTAAAGCATTTATGGTTAAATGTTGTGAAAAAAAAACAATTCTTAAAATTAACATTCGTTTTGGTATATAGTGTGGTGTGCAGAATCGATTCAACTAAACTATAGTTAAACCGCCGTAAGCTTGGCCCTCCTGATGGTTTGCGGGACGCGGGGCGGGTGATGCGCTCGGCTATACATGACACGATGTACTAACTCGATATCTTCAGATTTATTTGTTTGAGATTTAATCTACACACGATGTGAGTCGATATAATGTCAGTGTATTGTAAGTTTTTATGATTAATTGTAAAATTTAATACTTTAAAATAATTTTAATAAAATCACCTTATCTTCATCTTGTAAATTATATTCAGATACAATTTAAAAATCAAGTAAAATAATAAATATTCTTTATTAGAACTTTAACAGTAGAACCTCTGTAAGCCAAACTTCAAGTTTTTAAATCTTTTTGTGACGCAGAATCGGCAGATTATCCATGTTGCAAAATAATACAGTGTGTAGCAGTCTTAAGAAAAATAACACGTACAGCCATACTTTCACGTCAGTCACTGCCGGCGGACAGCGAAGCACTAGCTAATTGGTTGAATGCACCCCCGCCCCGCGTCCCCCAAACCATCAGGAGGGCCAAGCTTACGGCGGTTTAACTATAGGAGACGGAACAAACTATAGAGGTGGGGAAACAGCTTCTGGCCCCTTCTTCTTTCAACTTAAACCCACTACTGCTGACATATAACACATACATACAGTATTTTATACACTCACATCTTCTAACACGAACGTCCAGTCCTTATCCTCCAGTTCGTTGGTACGCGAGTCCTTGAACAATGTCACAGCCACCGTCCGGTTTTCTGGCACGGTGTATATTACTGTGCCTCTGTGGACAAAATTCATAAAAGTTATAAACGCTTAATGGAGGAAAACCCTGAGTCAATTTGGAGACTGAGTTTCAAAAATTAGCCGTTAGTCAGTTGGTGGTCATCAATCCGAGGACCTGGGCCTCAATTCTGCTATTACGCCAAGCCAGTGTCATACCACTGACACGCTATTGAGATGCCATCGAGTTGCCATTGGCATCGGTATAAATATCGGTAGTTGAAAATATATTACGTTTTTTGAGGAAATGATTTATTTGTTTTTATTATAATAAATTATTAAAAGAAAGAAATAAATTAAAATAACTAATAATTTATTTAGTTCTTTTTTATAATTTTTATATTTTATTTTTTAATAATTTATTTTAATTTATTTATTTCTTTTTTTTTAATTTTATTTTTTTAATAAGTTATTTTAATTTATTTATTTATTTTAATAATTTATTATAATAAAAACAAATAAATCATTTCCTCAAAAAACGTAATATATTTTCAACTACCGATATTTATACCGATGCCAATGGCCACTCGATGGCATCTCAATAGCGTGTCAGTGGTATGACACTGGCTTGGCGTAAACATAAAATAGCAGAATTGAGGCCTTGGTGAAGAACACGAGAAGGCGTTTGATGACACAAGACTGGTTGTTGTGGCGAAACTTGAGAAGGCCTATGACCAGTAGTGTTCGTCTTTCGGCTTAGATAATAATGATGAGTTTCAACACATCACATCAACCGCCTTTAACAGTCCACTGTTGGACATAGGCCTCTGCTTAGAAAGGAGGTTTTGGCTTACCATACCCAGTTTTAAGCTAGCCATGCCTCTTTGCAGAGCTGTTGTGCGGGTAGTTTGTTTCCTTACTCCCTTACGAAACCCACGGGATAAATAGGGGTGGTGACACTCCGTATCCGTCACCAAACGGAGTTTCAACAATATTCTGAGTATTTCTTTATTTGTAATTCAAACGATAAAGAGAGTCACTTGATTTTGAGTGACTATCGTCCCCAAGGACACATGCATCTCGAGAGATACAAGTGTGTTCTCAACCATTAAGTCCTCCCCCTCAAGAAATATGCTGGGGGTGGTCGTTTTTCACCTGTAACCTCACTCACTCGGGCAAAAGCATCGGCAAAATTGGTGAACACTGGTTCTCTGTGAGGCTGACGCTGAGACTCCGGTCGAGGAGACCCTTATGTGCCAAAACATGGCTCTCCAACGTTAAATAACAAATACATTATTCAGCTCTTGGTTTTTAAAAGTTAACAGTCTACGTTGCAGATTCATTCTCAGAAGAAGATTCTAGAGTCTTTTAGTTTTAAATCGTGGCCAAAGGCATTGAAACATTTTGTATTATTTAATAAAACTATTTTCTTTTTATTATTTCATGATCAGCCTTTCAAAGGAGCACCAACTATCCCGTTGTTGGGCAGTTTACATACTTCCACTGCCAGCCACTTTCTTCAAGTCGTCGGTCCTTCGTATCCCAGGGCGCCCTAAACTAAGCTTGCTAATATTTACTTGCTAACTTAATTTCTTCTCATAAGGCTCAACCCCTTGGAGACGGGCGGTTGTAGATCGGCACAGGCATATCATAGATTTTGTATGGGTTTGATTTTTTTTTAATTGATTTGCTTACTATTTGACAAAACAGAGATTGTTGATTTTGTGTGTGTTGATCTATGACTTTAGAGTTTACATAAAAGACGATTACAAACAATTTTGAAAATTTTATGAAATAAAGAGTGAGTTTAATGAAAAAAAGTTATTTTTACTTTGTAAAACAACATTAAACCTCAGTCTAGCCTTGTTTATAATTAAGTTAACCCTTTTAATCTAAAACATGATCGCTAATTAGATCGCTGCCTTTAAGCTTCATTAAGCTACCATTTCATTATAATTAAAATTTAATAAAATATTTTATTTTTAATACATTTTTACGCGTGACACCAAACAGTAAAAATATTTATACAACTTAACGATTCATTTGTTATATTTATCCGGCTCTTATCGTCTTCAGCTCTTTAAACAATTAGCTTTTTTACATTAATTTGCGGTCCGATGCTAATCAAATAGTGGGGTAATACCTCCGAAGCAATTAATAATAATAACCTCACACATCTCAGACACGGCCGATTGTCTAATGCCAAACTAAGCAGAGCCTGTACCTGTCCCCACCAACAGTCATTACTGCTATGCTGGGGGTGAGGAGGGCTGGGGCGCAGTGGTCTTTTTCTGTGAATCTGTAATGCTCAAAGAAAGATACTGCTGAACGGGATCGAAAGAGGGCCGATCCCAAGCGAAGACGACGTCGACGGCAGTATGAGCCGCCGATGGGACCTTGGGTGACAGATGGATTACTGCGGTAAGGGACATGTGGGCCGCCTGATTGCACAAAAATACGATCGGGGCCCAAGATAGGCGGGCGGAAGCCTTTGGCCTCTCCCGGGATAGAGCCTAGTTAGGTGCAGCGTCGATTCGGGCGGGGGCATACTCCTGGCTCCTGCGTTCCCTAGGAGCCGGAGATCCGAAGGGATTTTTAACCCCGTCAACAAAAAAATGCAGAGCCTATGGTAACCACACTGCTGATAAACATACTTATATATTTCTAAATACATACACATCTCACAAATATTTCTCCAGGGTGGAAATCGATCCCACGACCAATGGCTTAGCTCTCAGGAACACTTCTTGGTTCTTGGTTGGTTTCTTGGTTTAAAAAGACAACTCCCGCACTAGGAAAATATCCTTGTCGCGGGGTCTTTACAAACACATGAAACGGACATAAAGAACACCCAGACTCAGAATAACAATTTTTAGATCACACAAAGTCTCGTCCCATGAGGTCATCGCCCACAACACTCGGCGCAGAAGGAAGCGGCGTGGAGACCGCTTACACCTCTACGCCATTCGTGCAGTCAACTTACCTTACCTTTAAACCATCAAGCCCAATCACTAGTCTGTTTTTACTTTATGGTAAGTGACCACCGAAGTACAACGACACCGCCCTTTGAATTCGATTTATCGAACTTCGTAACAATACTGAGAACACAGTATTTACACAATGCCACTATCGAGCATTCTCGTAAATTAATTAATACATACAATACATTTGTAACAAGTTCAACGAACTATTTGCGTCGAACGCAACCACAATTGTGGCGTGGAAATGCAAGGTCGCGGTCACGCGGGGGACTTTACAAAACATACATGAAACAAACGCAAAGAACCCCCAGACGATTTGTGGACCTCACAAAGTGTTATCCCGCGCGGGGATCGCAGTCAGTATAACTTACTTGAGGGGGTCCTTCAAAGATGGCTCCCATTCTAAAGGATCTGTGATCACACGTCTCGATCTCCTGGTCCACACCACGCTTAATTTGTTGGGTTTCCTGCGAACAAATATCAATAATACATAAACCATTGTTTCACACCAACTATCGGTGTCACCAACAGTACGAGGAGCTAGGGTAACTGCTTCTATTCTCATTATCATCATTTACAACTGACTGACCGCACCAGAGGTTTATATTTTTCGAGTCTATGTATTATTGATGGAATAAAATCACAATCACGTCCTGTGATAAATCATATGTGTGACTAATTAATAAAACCACTGCGACTTATTGTTATAATTACGCTAGCATCAGACTCGCGAAACATCCAAATCTAAAAAAGAACGTCGGAAGTCTTTGATAAAAAGAATGTTCATTGCTTTCGATGGCATTTATCTTTGCCTATTGCCAAAACTAGACAGAATGGGCACGAGAATTAATATAAACAGAGGCGTGAGACAGGGCGACCCGCTCTCTCTCCAAAACTATTCATAGCTGTACTACAACATCTAATGAAAAACCTACAATGGTCTAGGAAGGGATTAAACATAAACGGCGAATACCTAAGCCATCTCCGCTTCGCTGCAATACAAACTACACAAAGAAGAATGGAAAGAAGCTTATTAGGTGTAAAATTAAAGGACAAGATTAAAAATAAGCACATTCGCAACAAAACCAAAGTAACCGACGCTTTAATTTTCTCGCTGAAAATGAAATGGAGATGGGCAGGACACGTAGCCCGCTACGATGACGATAGGTGGACCTTTAGAGTGGTGAACTGGCAAGGCCCTACAGGTCGTAGGGTTAGAGGCCGCCCATGCACTAGATGGACAGATGAACTGGTAAAGGTAGCAGGAGAAAATTGGATACACTTGGCTAGACACAAAAAAAGATGGAAATCCTTGGAGGAGGCTTTTACCCGTAGGGGGTCCATAACAGCCAAGACAAAATAATAACAATAGACAAATTAATTTAATGTAATTGAAATTATTTTAAAAGAATTATATTTATTAATCAGAATGTATGGTAATAGGCTGAATGGAATTAAATAAAGCTTTATTATTATTATTATTATTATTGCCAAATCACAATCACAGTTGAATCGCTGTGACTAAATCAATCATATTATCGTATGACTATGATTGAAAAGTAGCAAGAATTATCATGTCTACTATATATGTATTTCTTTGGCACGTTCTGTCCTAAAATGCTTCATAGATTTTGACGTTTGACGTTAGATTCGTCTTAATTGTGTAACACTTATCACACACATCACATCAACAGCCTTTAATAGTCCACTGCTGGACATAGGCCTCTCTTTAGAAAGGAGGTTTTGGCCTACTATACCACGCTGGCCAGACGGGTTGGTATAGGGTTTGTGTCAAGTTTTTCTTCTACCGCAGTGCTGTTGTTCTGCGTAGTTTGCTCCCTTAGTCGGCTCTTACAACACCCACGGGATGAAAAGGGGTGGTGGTCACCACACGGACAACACTTGAAACTTGACAGTTTGTAAACTTTATGTATATAGGGTTCACGAAGTCAGAATTTTGTTGTTTTTTATTTCAATTTGATTTGGGGTCGGTGCAATGTATAACATTGTACAAGTATTGGCTGATTTTTTCCTTCTCATGTGGGGATGCGTTCATTTGGTGTTATAATCTGTATTCACCAAAGAAATAATACGTTACCTACAATGTACAAGTAAGATGAATTTGTTATTGGAGCAATATTTTCCTTGGATAAAAGTGATACATAAAAATTATGTGAGATTAGCTATGAAATTGACCGCGCTTAGCTTGATAAGATTAAAGATAATACCTTCTAATGGAGTAGGTAAGTATATGGTTTAATGATATTATTATTTTATTGAGAGAGAGAGAGAAATTTGAAGGAGCTTGAGTATATGTGGACTCGAATCGACACCGCGCATCTGAAGGCCAATTCTCGTGATGAAAAGATCGCTCACAATTCAGTTAAGATCAACTTTCGATCTCACAACTGTCACAATTTAGTAAAATAGTAAAGTATTACTAAGACTAGCAGATTACCGATTTAATTTTCGGTTGAAATACGATATAATCACATTACAGTCAACGTTAGATGTTTAATGCTTTACTACAAAATTCCTTTTATGACAGTTGTGAAATCGAGAGTTGATCGCGTCGAATTGTGACCGAACTTTTATTACGAGAATTGGCCTTGTGGGATAGATCCTACACCATGTAGGGGATAGAATGTCAGCCTGTTTGCATTTTTTTTATGAAACAGGGGGGCAAACGTGCAGCCGTGTACTTTCATTATTATGTGGCCGTCACGCCGTGATTGAGGGGAGGAAGCGTTTTCCCCTGGGATAGAACCTGATTCAGCAGTCGGGGTGGTTTTTAGTGGAATCACCACATACTCCTGCCTCCTGAGTCCCCGAGGAGCAGGAGATCCGAAGGAATTTTTCACTGCGTCAACAAAAAAAAGATCCATTATGCTGACGACAGTAGATAACTATTGGTGCGCAATGGTGATCTTACCATGTTTCTTTTTATGAGATAGGAGTCAAACGAGCAGACGGGTTACCTGATGGTAAGGAATATAGCCGCCCATGGCAACCTTCAACTCAAGAATTACAAGTAAATTATCGCACTAAGAACCAGGGTCTAAGAACCAGGGCAAAGGCGTTGGGATCCATTAACCTCAACTGACTCAGCGAAATAGCAACCAAAAAATTGTGTAACAGCTCTAAGACTTTGGTTACACTCCGGTCGAGCCGGCCCGTTTTCCTATTTTGTATGTATCTATATGAATTTATTTAGAAATATATCATCATCATCATCAACAGCCTTTAGTAGTCCACTGCTAGACATAGGCCTCTCCTTAGGGAAGAGGTTTTGGCCTACTATACGGCTATACCATATAGGGTATGTTTCAAGTTTACCTTCTCTTTGCAGTGCTGTTGTCCTACGTAGTTTGCTCCCTTAGTCTACTCTTATGATACCCACGGGATGAATAGGCTGATGACACTTCGTATTTTTAATCCGTCACCACACGGATATCTGATAAACATATGCTCTGCTTAATTTGGGATCAGACGGCCTTGTGAGACCTGACAATTTTTTTTAAAATACGCTTTAGAGCAGGGATTTCCAAACTAAGATAAAGGTAAGAGACCCCTTTTCTAAAATGAACTATTACCTTAGACCCCCACAGCCATTTGTTTATGTCGACTCCTGGGGTCGATATCGAGCACTTTGAGAATTATTGCTTTAGAGTAACCTTATAATAACCTTGTGTCTGCACATAAACATTCATTGAATCGATACAAACACGAAATGCAGCTTGCAATTTTACTTAATGCATTCGCGACACGACAAGGACGCACTGAAGTACAACATTTAGGTTATTAATAAAAGCCTTTCTATTAAGATTAACGTTTTTTCACGATAACTGCTTCTATCCTAATAGTTTTTTTTTATGTTAGCGGGGCCACGAGCAGACGGGTCACCTGATGAAAAGTGACCATCGCCGCCCATGAACGTCTGCAACTCAGGAGTAACAAACGCGTTGCCGGCCTTTTAGGAAGGAGTGCGCTCTTTTCTTTTCATAGTTGTATGTATATTTTACAAAGTTATTATGTTGTAAGAACATACTAAGAAAGGATTTTTTGGAAAATTCGTCCCTAAGGGAGTAAAATAAGGTAGGAAAGATCATTTTCAAAGTTAGAAACAGGAGTAATAGCTAGTATTTACATATATGAAGATCAATGTTAGTTCAGGCGGGCATTATGAACTACACCAGGGTTTTACAGACTTTATAAAGTTATTAAATGTACAACAAATGTACCTATTGTACAAACGGCGATCTTTTCGACGCGACCTTTTAACGGCGAGCAATTTCTTCGAAATTGGATGGACTGTATTAATTTTAAACCGAGACGATGTAAAAGTTGTCTGTGTGGTGACGGATTAAGAATACAGAATGTCACCACTCCTATTCATCCCGTGGGTGTCGTAAGAGGCGACTAAGGAAGCAAACTACGCAGGACAACAGCACTGCAGAGAGAAGGAAAACTTGAAACAAACCCTATACCAACCCGTCTTGCCAGCGTGGTATAGTAGGCCAAAACCTCCTTCCTAAGGAGAGGCCTATGTCCAACAGTGGACTATTAAAGGCTGTTGATGTGATGTGATGATGTAAAGGTTCGAGAAATAATAAATAGTAGTAGAGTATTTTTGATTTCAGAAAAAAAGAGATGGAGAAATTACTTTTACGAGAGTGAAGCCCTATTTATAAATTACTATTATGAAATATCAGCCGTTCCCGAAGATTATTATTGTGTTAAGCAATGCAAATCTGACTGGTTGTTTCATAAACATTATTTATACTAAAAGGGTAAGGGTTATTAATTGTTGGGGTAGTTTTGTTAACCCCCTAAAGCAATTCATGACCTACACGTAAAGTACATTCTATAAGGTGTTTCTTAGAGGTGCATAGGAAAAATCAATAATATAACACTTAGATTGGACCATTTTGAAATGGTGATGGCAGGTGACCATGGTGACAGTTAAGTAGTGACCATTTTAATGACAAGTAAACGGTCAAGGTTTATGGTAAGCCGGTCTCAATTCTGCTAAAATTGGAGCCTCCAGGCTAGACATGGAAATTATTGCTGCTTTTAAATCATACTCATTTGATGAAATGATTGGCTTTAGTCACTGCGATTTCACTTGTGATTGTGATTTCGTCATAGACAAAGATAAATGCTATTAAAATAAATCCAAATTCTTTTTATCAAAGATTACCTTTTTTACACGCTTTATATTAGCTTCACTTGTATGTTTGTTTGTATGTTTGTAAACGACTCCTTTTGGCGTGATTTTTGCCTGACTTTAAACAGTCAGAATTCGTTCAAATTTTGTAGATATATCGAGGACCGATGACAATACACTAATTAAAAAAAAACAGTTTGAAAAAACTAAAAAACACGCTTTCTATAGAAAACCAAACTAAAAACTAGAAAATAAATTTGAAAAAAAGCGTGGGGTGCTTTTTACTATTGACAACAGGCACCCAACGCTTTTAACGACACACGAGGACTTTACAAACACACATAAAACAACACTGGGTGCAGTAGGTAGCGGCGTGGCGACCGCTTAACCACTACGCCATCCGTGCAGTCAAATATCAGAAATGAACTCACACTAAGGTCTCTCATATCTCTACCTTACAGAAAACCATGATTAGATTTCCTAATGACAGCAGTTCTACTATCGTGAAGCTTAGCCAAAAGTGGAGAAGTTTTGGTTATACATATCATACTTCTATTTTTCTAAAATTACATAATAATAATAACTTCACATATCTCACACATCCGTCATCTCACACACCGTCTGATCCCTAACTAGTTGATGTTGGAAAGTTGTATCAAGTTGTATGTATGCTAATCGGTGAGAGAATTATTAATATCGCGATACAGGATTAGCAATTACTCCATAGTTCGGTGTGTCGTTAATAGATGGCGCTGTAGTATATTTCAGTGTATGTGGGAGTCGCATGTGGGACAATACTTATATATTATTATATTATTTGACGACCGGATGGCATAGTGGTTGTGTAACGGACTGCTATTCCAAAGGTCGCGGGTTCGATTCCCGCTCAAGTCAAACATTTGTGTGCATGAACATTTAATGTTTGATTTGGTCTGGGTGTTTCTATGTATAATAAGTATGTATTTACAAAAAAAAAAGTATATATGTATTTATATCAGTTGTCTAGTACCCATAGTACAAGCTCTGCTTAGTTTAGGACTAGATGGCGTTGTGTGAATGTAGTAAAATATATTATTAAATATATTATATATTTCTAAATACATACATATTATAGATAATCAAACAAAGACACAGAACAAATGATTGTGATCATCACCCAATTATTTGTCCTGGGTGGGAATCGAACCCACGACTTCAGGCTTAGTAGTCGGGGTCGCTAACGGCAAGACCAACAGGGCAGTCTAATATTACGTACGTCATAAAGTGTCAAAAGACTTACCACTTCGGCGAGGTCTCCAAGTCAACTCGGTGGTAGGACGCGGTGTACTGGAACTTCGCAGCACGCTTGTTGACACGCTGCAACCGCTTCCACACAGACGCCATTTTGTCACCTATAAGAACGAACATAAGACTGTAAAAAGCTATATACCAAGGTTACTCCCAGTCCTAACAGGTTCAATTCCAGAACGTCATCAGAATTAATGCCATGGATATATTATTTAAAACATTTAGTTTCCTTCTGCAGCAGGGTCACACACACATGGGTCAGCTCGACCCGACTGATAATATTTCGTTGTCTTTCGCCCAGTGAGAAGACGGTGTGGGTATAGTTCGAACAAGGTGGTCCGACGAGCCGGTGAAGGTCGCGAGCAGCTGTAGGATAGCGGCACCATAAGACTGCGTGTTGTGAAGAGCCTTCGAGGAGGCCTATGTCCAGCAGTGGACGTCTTTCGGCTGAGATTTTTTTTGCTTTAAAATACAACTCCCGCAGTAGAAATATATCCTGTGTCGTGGGGAATGTTACAAACATATATGAAATGGACACAAAGAACACCCACACTCAGAATAACAATTTGTGGATCACACAGTGTTGTCCCATGTGGGGAACGAACCGTAGCGAATCGAACGCAGTAGGAACCGGCGAGGTGACCGCTTAAACCACTACGCTATCCGTGCAGTCTGATGAGATGTCTGAGTCTGTCTGATATGATGATGATGAACGAGATTACCTAAGAGTCAGAATCCCGCATCCTCCCCCCACCATCATACCATGAGGTGACCTGTCTGCTTGTTTAACCCTATACCATTTAAAATAAATCCGAAACTCCTGAAGGGACTGTCACAAAACTAACGCTATCCAGCTATCAGTGCTGTCCCATTCATCAATCTCATTAATCCTTCATATTCATTAGTCAAATAAAGAAGCTGGGTCATGTCAGCTAACATTAAACGTTCGATAAGGACATGAAACATAAAACAATATCTACAATACTCACAGTAGTCACAGTTGCCTTTGTGATACGATTATCTATCTGCGCGCGCGCATTATCGCGACGTACCGCCCCTGTGGACAAACAAACAGACTGATTTATTAATTTGCCCTTCATTTATTATTTTACACTTCACTGAGATACAACAATTACGCATGTTATTAATATACATACTATGTTACTGAAGTAACTATATATAATTAGAGATAAAACAAATGGGATGTGATGAATTAATATTTTAAGAAGGCATTTTTATTTTTATTTTTAAAAAGACAACTCCCGCATCTGGAATATATCCTGTGTCGCGGGGGACTTTACAAACATACATGGAACGGACACAAAGAACACCCAGACTCAGAACAACGATTTGTGGATCACACAAAGTGTCGTCCCATGTGGGGTTTGAAACCACAACACTCGTTGTAGTATGAAGCGGCGTGGCGACCGCTTAAACCACTTTAGGGACTAAATTCAGGAAAAATAAGTCATCATCTGCCTACCCTTTTCCCAATTTTATTTGGGGTCGGCGCAGTATGTATGATTTTTCCATTCTACTCTGTTATGCGTCATCTCACTGTTTACTCCCTTCCTAGCCATATCCTCCCTCACGCACTCCATCCACCTTTTCTTCGGTCTGCCTCTTCTCTTGTACCCTTCAAATCCCATACCTAAAACTTTCTTCGCCACATTTTCCTCATCCCTCCGCATGACATGTCCATACCAAGATAACCTATTACTTTTTAACTTTTCATCCAGTGGCGCTACTTTCAGACTCCCTCGTATATACTCATTCCTAACCTTGTCCATTTGAGTCACACCACACATCCATCTCAGCATTCGCATTTCGGCTAAGTTCAGGCGTCTCTCATCCGTAAGTAAATAAGAAAAATTCTTTCGCTTTGATGCAATAAATGAAAAGTTCCACGCAAACAAAACTGAAATAAACAAAGTTTGAATCGTTGCCATTTATTTTTTTGACGTCTCGTTATTTTTAGTAACAGATGCAATTAGTAGGTATTAGAAGAATATTATAATCGGTATTACTTATAATGATTCTATTAATTAGTTATTTTTTTAATTAACCTTTGTATTTTTTATGGTATAAGGGGGCAAACGAGCAGACGGGTCGCCTGATGGTAAGCAACTACCGCCGCCCCTGTGGACACCTGTAACTCAAAAGTCACAAGTGCGTTGCTCCCTTGGAGTTCCTCCTGCTCGAGTCAGCGGGAGGGGGGATTTGAGCTCCGGTAACCTCACTTACTCAGTGAAAGGCAACGAAAGAATTGCTTAACACCGGTTTTCTGTGAGGCCGTGGTATCACTCCGATCGAGCCGGCTCATTTGTGCCGAAGCATGGCTTTCCCACGGTAAATTATATTTATATATTTAATATATAGGAGAATCACATCACCGAACAGATTCTTTTACAGTTTCCAACTTTCCACCAATGTTTAGAGCTATTCATGGGGAAGTTGATTAAAAGTTCGTCTAAATTGAAAAAATATAACAATGAATTTTCAACGAATCCAGGGACTATCAAAGGGTAGACAATTAACAAAAAATATAGGTATCAATGTTTTTTTTTTATTCATTCTCCTTGGACAATTCGGCACACCACATAGCTTATGCAAAGATTTGAGCTTGCAGATCGTCTGTCCCTATTAAGAAGGTCGGATATGCAATTTTTTTTTATTTTGCTTTTATTTTAATATTAACCTAAAAAGCAATGGTTTTTCAGCAGCTTTAACCATAAGTCAATTTTTCCTCATAGTTTTTGAAATGGCTATGTTAACAAAGTATATGTATATAATAATATAATAATAATATTGTACCACATTCACACAACGCCATCTAAGCAGAGCTTGTACTATGGGTACTAGACAACTGATATAAATACATTTATACTTTTTTTTTGTAAATACTTACACATTATATATAGAAACACCCAGACCAAATCAAACATTAAAGGTTCATGCACACAAATGTTTGACTTGAGCGGGAATCGAACCCGCGACCTTTGGAATAGCAGTCCGTTATATAAACCACTACGGACAAAAAAGTTGAACCGACCTCTAGCAATACTAACAAAAAGTACTAAAAACCTAGCAGCAATCGCGATTGATTTGTTTTTTTTTTTAACATTTCCGTTCAAAAACTCATCATCAGATCGCAATGGAAACGATCGATTGGAGAGGAGACTGCTAATGAACGCACCGTGAGTTTTTGGGTTCAACGCTTTCGTAATGGAAACTTCGACTTGAAGAACGAACCATGTGGAAGACCACCCACACAGGTGAATAACGCTGAATTGAAGGAGATGGTGGAAGCCGATCCGAGTCAAACTACCCAGGAATCAGCGGCATGGTTTAACGTTACCCTACCTACAATATTGACTCTTGCACCAAATCAATAAAAAAATAAAAAAATGGGTGCCTCATGATTTGACTGATCCGCAGAAAGAAATCCGTGTTGAAACTTGTGTTGCCTTGTTGAATCGGTACAGAAATGAAGGAATATTGGATTGAATTGTGACATGTGACGAAAATGATAACCGTACCGAACAGACAAAAAACCGCACGCCGTCTTGGGTAGAACAAACACAGAACAAATAATCATTCTAATCACGCAATTATTTGTCCCAGGTGGGAAACGAACCCACGACCTCCGACTTAGCAGTCAGGGCCACTGTTTGTGCCAGCTGCAAGCAGCGCGTTAACTTACCTACCCACCTACAAGTATACAGTCCACCTAATGTAGAAGTCCACAATAATTTGTAAAAGCAGTATTAAAACGTCTCGTCATTTATGAAATCTCCTACAACAAAAAATGAACCTTATTGCTTCGAACAGCCACTAACCAGGGCCTCAATTCTGCTATTTTATGTTCACGCCAAGCCACTGTCATACCACTGACACGCTATTGAGATGCCATCGAGTGGCCATTGGCCAAATCATTTCCTCAAAAAAAAGTAATATATTTTCAAATTATAAGGAAATGATTTATTTATTTTTCCAAATATGGCAATCTTTTTGATATCACCACTGATGAGCCACTGCCATTCCATCGCCACTGTAAAGACACTGAGTTAGTGTAAACTACCGATATTTATACCGATGCCAGTGGCTTGGCGTGAACATAAACTAGCAGAATTGAGGCCCAGACCAACAATATCTGTACTTTGTTTAACCAAAAAAAAATTATTAGATAACATCCGACCTTCAAACTCATGAATGGAGTCATCGGAAGCCACTTGCAAACGTTACCGAAAAATAAACTGATTCAAAGCATGATAAACTGGTGATTCATCGCGTTCATTATCGCTCTTATCATACGGTTGATAAACTGTCAGACAAAAAAGCTTTCATAGCTGGCGACTTTCCAATTTCCTAACTACTAAGCTGGAGGTCGTGGGTTCTATTCCCACCGAGGATAAACAATTGTGTGATGAAATTGTTCTGTGTCTGGGTATATTTTATATATTATATGTATCTATTTAGAAATACTTTCCGTGTGGTGACGGATTAAGAATACAGTGTCACCACCCCTATTCATCCCGTGGGTGTCATTAGAGCCGACTAAGGATGATAAAATACGCAAGTCAACAGCATTGCAAAGAGAAGGAAAACTTGAAACAAACCCTATACCAACCCGTCTGGACAGCGTGGTATAGTAGGCTATAGCCTCCTTTCTAAGGAAAGGCCCATGTCCAGCAGTGGAATAGTCCACTAGTAAAGGCTGATGACGTGATGATGATTTAGAAATACATAATAAGTAGGTTTATCAGCAGCCTAGTTATCGTAGTACAGGCTCTGCCTAGTTTGAGATCAGACTGCCGCGTGTGAGATGTGTAAAACTATTATTAATTTTATTTACCTAAATACATCAAAATTCGTATTTACGAATCACCGTGATACTTAAGTGGATTTCCTACTACAAGATTCTTTTTTTTCTTAAACAAAAAAGAAAACAGGTATTATTATTAGTCACTTTATAAAAAACAAAATTCGACCGTCTGTTTTTTTTCATATCAAAACATGAGCTTTTTAGTAAACTATGTAGATTTATGTATGTTTACATTGTACTTTATAACATGAAAACATCAACATGTTTTATC